GTATTAAACCACAGCCACCACGATACTCCCCAAAGGGGCCGTACCCATGAACAGACCGGAGTAATGCTCGCCGGCGAGATTTGCTGGACTGGCTCAACTCACCCTGACCCATTTAACTGACTCAGCTCACACTAGAACGACTTACACGACTACTTCACTCCACATTCATACTCCGTCTTGCTCGTCTCACAAGTCTAATCGCCTCGCTCGTGGGCACCCTCCACATCCAGGAGCGGTGACACCACTTGCTCAACTTTCGACCGATCGAGTTGCTCGACACACATTCACCATCTTGCTCCGTCTTGCTCATCTCACACGTCCTACTCACCTCGCTCGTGGGCACCCTCCACATCCAGGAGCAGTGACACGGCTCAGCTTTCGCAACGGATCGAATTGCTCAACTTGCGCACAACTTTTTCACCATTTCCAGCGGTTTCCACCTCACTTTTGCTCCAATTACAACTGTTTTCTCCATTATCTCCATTTTCACCATTTTCTCCATTTTCTAGTCGTGTAAGCCATGCCAGTGTTTGCCTTGCCTGCCTTGCAAGCCTTGTTTGTGTCACCAGTTTTGCTCGTCTCGCCGACGAAAACACTCCGGGGGCATCTGTTCCCCGTGGCACCATTTTTAAAGTCTTTGGTATGACTCTCGAAAGCCGTAGACTTCTTCCAGTTGAACCTCCACCGACTCAGGACTGGTAGCCTTTAACTGGGGTAGACGGGGTTGTCAAGCCCGTACCCTGGAAATACCAAAGCCCCCTGTCTTCCCTCCTGTTTTCTCAAACCGGGCTTGGGACCGTCTAAGGCACAGTTATTCCTTAGGCAGAATCGAGTCAACTGAAAACCGCTTTTGTATTCGGTAACAGACTTTATGCTTTTCGTCGCATGACCATGGGGTTGAGAAATTCACCCGCCACATTAGCCATTCTCATTGATAAAATTTTCCGTGATTTAGTTCCACATGCATTCACATATGTCGATGATTTCATAATTTGCACTTCGACGTTTGAAGAACACGTTAAGATATTGGCTATTGTTGCAAAACGTCTGGCGGGGCCGGCTTAACCATCTCAACATCCAAATCGAATTTTTGTTGTAAACGATTGGAATTCCTGGGCTACGTTTTGTCTCAAGAGGGTTTATCTGCGAATCTATCTCGTATTCGAGCGATTGTTGAATTTGCACGGCCCAAAATGGCAAAAGAAGTCATACGGTTCGTTGGTGCAGCAGGCTGGTACCGTAAGTTTATTCCAAATTTTTCGGAGATCACAGCTTTCCTTTGTGAATTGTATAAAGGAAACCGAAAAGGACCCACTGAATGGAATACCGCTGCTGAACAAGCCTTTCTCAAACTCAAAGAGTGTTTAACTACCACTCCCGTTCTGACTATGGCCGATTATTCAAAACCATTCAAGGTTTATACCGATGCCTCGCTTATCGCAGCGGGAGCTGTTCTAGTACAAGAACATGATGGGAATGAACGTGTGGTTCAGTATTTTTCTAAGAAATTCCCGAAAGCCGGACAAAATTACACAGCATCCGAACGGGAATGCCTAGCCGTTCTCTTAGCGATCGAAAAGTTCCGTCCATATTTTGAAGGTCGTGAATTGGTTGTGGTAACGGACCATGCAGCTTTGCGCTGGCTACAAACTCTCAAAGAACCAACTGGCCGTTTATGCCGTTGGGCGATCCGATTATCACCCTACGATCTCAAAATTATTCATAAACCAGGAAAACATTTAGAACTTCCTGACGCCTTATCTCGTTCGTTTGCTCCTCTCAACATCGTTCGTAGAAATCCAATTGACCTTCCGAGTAATTTTCACGTTAATCGTACCCCAATCACATCCGTGATCAACATTGACCCAAACACGTGCGATAAATGGTACAACAAAATGCATGCCATGGCCTCAAGACAACCATTAGATAGATATAAAATCGAGAACAACCTTCTATATCATCGATTGAAATTTTCCAATCAAAGTGCGGAAATACTGTGGACACTTTGTGTACCATCTTCTGACAGAGCAAAAGTGCTCGATGAAAATCATAACCAACATTCGCATCAGGGTGTTTGGAAAACTTATAGACGTATCTCACAACGCTATTACTGGCCAAACATGTATGAGTCCGTTTACCAGTACGTTCGGCAATGTGAACTATGCCCCCGCATTAAACCAAGTAATGAGAGCACCAAAACACATCACGGCGAATATAGAGAACCAAAACGACCGGGTAGGCAATTATCGATTGACTTCGTCGGTAAGCTGCCCATGT